ATTGATTCACTGCAATCTCTCCATTGACAGATTGGTAGAAACATTTCTGATTGGATTGAAATTGGAGATTCTGCCTATAATTTGCAATTTGAACTTCGTATTTGCTGATCTTGGCTACAGCTGTTGTTTGCTTTATTATTTACAGTGCTTCCTTGATCTTTGTTTCTAAGTGGTATTTCTTGATTAGGTATTCTTTGGTCTTGTTCTTCAGCTTATTTTCTTTCATCTGTTCTAGCTTGCTTGCATCTGATCTCAGCTTGCTGATCTTATTTTCCAGTTTGATCTTTCATTTTGGTGGCTTTGGGCTTTTTTTCTTCTTTGTGTACATTGGTGTACATTAGTTGGTTTGTTTCTTGCAGTAAGCTGGTGCTTATATTTGATATTGCAGTATTGGCATCTTTTAATTCTTGTACTAGCTATTTCTTTGGAACAAACCTCAATGCAGGGAACCTTATTCTGATGTTTTTGTGCTATTCCAGATGCCAAATTATTTTTTTAAAAAATCTTCTATTTTAGTTAGAGGGCTTTGTTCTTTCTGAGACAGAGGAGAGAGTACCTGATTTCCAAATGAATACAATTCTATATCTCTGCTAGATTCCTCTAATACTAACTCTCCCTTGTTTATCTGAACAGTCTAAATTACTTCCGGCATGGCTTTGATTTCTCTGCTCTGCGTAGACTTTTTCAGTTCTTCCAATTCTGTTTCTCTGAATCAGCCAGATGTTCAGACTGGATTTATCTACCTGTCGAGTCCTTTCCAGGAACCTGGAATAGGTAGCGATATGTCACTGTATATCTCACTGTACATTGTTATTGTACATTGTGATATGTCATTGTAGACACCTCAAGTGGGGCACACTACCTTGACGTGGTTGTGGGACTTGTGTCCTCGCATTGAACGACAATAATAATAATGTAAGAATTCTGCCATCCGACTCTAAATTGTAGGTACTGTAGATGTCAAGCAATCCCATTTACTAGAAATGGGTACTATATTCTTTAACATCTTTAAGCAGTCTATGTGGTCATCCCTGTATTCAATTTTTTGTACTAATTTTTGATTTTACACTATAAAATAAAAAAATTGTATTAATGAAAATACCAAAAATCTCAAGATGAAACAAAAGATCTATCTATACAGATAGTCCTCAACTTATGACCACAATTGAGCACAAAAGTTCTGTTATTAAATGAGATATTTAAGTGAATTTTGCCTCATTTTACGACATATCTTGCCACATGGATGTTAAGTGAATCTGGTATCCCCATGGACTTTGCTTATCAGAAGGTCGCAAAAGGTGGTCACATGATCCCAGGACACTGCAGCTGTCATAAATATGAATCAGTTGCCAAGCGTCTGAATTTTGATCACATAACCATGGGGATGTTGTAATGGTCATAAGTGTGAAAACGGTCATAAGTCACTTTTTTTTGTTGTAACTTTGAAGCCACTAAATGAACTGTCGACTACTTTGCTGGCTGATGAATTCTGGGAGTTGAAGTCCTCAAGTCTTAAAGTTGCCAAGTTTGGAGACTCCTGCTGTATACAGTGGAGCTCAAGTGAAAATAAAGCTTGGCCACACAGAATCATAGAATAGAAATAGAAATAGAAATAGAATTCTTTATTGGCCAAGTGTGATTGGACACACAAGGAATTTGTCTTGGTGCATACATAGCTTTCTGTGACATCAATGGAAGCTGTGCCTGTGCCCACCTCTGGTTTTTGACCAGATATATTGTTTGCTGAAGTAAAATAGTTTTAGCTGCTCACTTTGTGCTACAAATCCAATAATTCATATTTCAATAGCTTGCAAATTGATATTTTACACTCAACCCATGATTAAGGTGACCAGACGTCCCGCTTTTGGCGGGACAGTCCCGATTTTTAGCAATTTGTCCCGCGTCCCGCGGCGTTTCAAAAAAGTCCCAATTTTTCATTCTGCCTCCTGAGTCCCGCTGCCTCTTGAGCCCCAGCTGATGGCTAGAAGAAAAAAAAAAACTGTTTAAACTCTTGGCTTCAAAGGGCCGCCCTACAGGCAATCAGTGTAAAGAGTTCCTGAAGCAGTTTTTTTTCCCCCTAGCTAAGCTGCAGAAACGAAACCGAAACCAGGATCTTTGGTGCAACGTGACAAAATGAGGCAGAGAGAGATTTATTTTTATTTTTATTTTTCCTCCCCAAAAAAGGTAGGTGAAAAACTGCAAACAATGGGAAATTTAGGAGGAGAGTTCAAGATTTTAAAACACAAAAGAAAATTTAACTAGGGAATTGTAATAATTAAGATACTATTAATTGTATATTGTGTTGAAAGCAGAAATGGTTAAGTTGTGGTTCAGAGGAATATATGGGGGAAATTATTTGGTTTATTATTATTGGTAAATATAATTAATTGATTTGTAAGAAATTGGATTGCATGGAAATAATTGGAATATTCATGTTCATATTGATTAATATACAAAAAAGATAGTTATATAACTAATTGATTTATATTAAAATGTTGAATTTGTATTAAACAACTGTATTACATAATTACATAATTAAACAATGTGAGGATGGATATAAAAATAGATGACAATGGGAAGGGGTATAATATAGAATAGAAGGGAAAAATTGAATTTGATTAAGATTAGAGATGAGGATGAAGGGTAATATTGGTTTTTTTTAAAAAATAGATGAGGAATAAATATGGCAAAAAGGAAATATAGAAATTGTAAATTTAATTGAAGTGACTAAACACTGTTTAAATTTGTGAACCGGCCAAATACTCTGTTCAAAGAAAATAAATTGTATGTTTGTATGTGTGTTTCTAATTACTGCTATTTATTCATATTTGTTCTCTTTTATTCTTTAAAGTTTAACCATTCATTCTTTATCTTAATATCTTTATATTTGTTTGGGGTTGGCTTTCTTCCCTTTCATCTTTTTTATTGTACAGCAATCTTTCTCCTCAAACCTACCACCTCTCTCTTTTCTTTCCTTCTTACTTTCTCTTCCCCCCTCTTCTTCTCCTCCCTACTTCCTCTTCCTTTCTCCTTCCCCTCCTCTCTTCCTCCCCCTCTTACCTTCACTCCTACTCTAATTTCCCTTCCCTTCCTTCATCCGTCTCTATTGCTGTATCCTTTTGTGCATATGGACTACTCAGAGGGCTGAAAAAGTTATTTTTACTGGTCCTCACACTTTTGACCAGTCCTCGAACTTACGACTGTCCTCACATTTTACATTTTTGCCCTATCTTGTCATCATGGTGAGAGAGAAGCAGTTGTGAAATGAGTGACATGGTTGTTAAGAATGCTGCACGGGCATAAATGTGAGGATGGTCATAAGTGTGAGGACCAGTCAAAAGTGCGAGGACCTGTCAGAAATGACTTTTTTCAGCCCTCTGGTTAGTCCTTTTGTGCATATGGACTACTCAGAGGGCTGAAAAAGTTATTTTTGACTGGTCCTCACACTTTTGACCAGTCCTCGAACTTACGACTGTCCTCACATTTTACATTTTTGCCCTATCTTGTCATCATTGGTGAAGAGAAGCAGTTGTGAAATGAGTGACATGGTTGTTAAGAATACTGCACGGGCATAAATGTGAGGATGGTCATAAATGTGAGGACCAGTCAAAAGTGTGAGGACCTGTCAGAAATGACTTTTCAGCACTCTGAGTAGTCCCTATACACATAGCCATGGCCACCCGGTCACATGACCAGCTAGCCACGCCCACCCAGTCACATGGCCTCCGAGCCACGCCCACACAATAAGTCACGCCCACAATGGTGTCCTTCTAACCAATGTTAAAATCTGTTCACCTTACCCTATACACATAGCCATGGCCACCCAGTCACATGACCAGCTAGCCACGCCCACCCAGTCACGTGACCAGCTAGCCACGCCCACCCAGTCACGTGACCAGCTAGCCACGTCCACAAAATAAGCCACACCCACAATGTCCCTCTTTACCAATGTTAAAATCTGGTCACCTTACCCATGATTGATTGGGTCAACTTCGCCTTACCAGATTCAACAATGACAGAACTTTTAATGCCTTGCCTTCACCAGAAAAGCATGCATGTTCAGAGATGCCTTTGCTTTAAAATAGTCCATGTTGAATTATACAGCATTGTCAAACATAAGGAGTTTATCACAGGAAATATTTTATGACTTTTTATGTCAAAATGTTTTATAACCTGTATGTCATAGAATATTTTATAACATTTACCAAGTTTCAATTCCATGGGAGTCATGGGCCCTGAATTTTGTGTGTGGGATATTTAAATAATCTGCTCAGCAATATCAGGTTTGTAGTACTACACATTTTTTCCGTTAACTTCTTGTATGATGAAACAAATTTTTATCGACGATAATTACAAATAATACATCTTGAACCTTAACCGGTTGGTCTGTATGCGCTTGAGATGATAGCAACTATACAGTGACGTTGCGTCCAATCAAAAGGACCAAATCAAATGTTTGCCGCAGCTCTTTATTTTTGAATTTTTTTAAATTTTAAAACAAAAACAAAACATAAAACCATCATCATTCCAAACAATTACAGACAGTGTGTCGATCGGTTAACATTCTTTTGTGCTTAATCCCATCTTCAAAGTATCAATATATAACAAAAGCTTATTACTCATGAAAAAGAACTTCAAATGTTTGCCGCAGCTCTTTAACAGCCGCCTTTGACAATTGAAAACTGCTGGTTTCCCAAAGAAAAAGTAGCAGGAGCGAGGAAAGCCCTAAGACAGGGATGGGCAACTGTGGCCCTTTTACCACCTGTGGACTTCAACTCCCAGAATTCCTGAGACAGCTTGGCTGTCTCAGGAATTCTGGGAGTTGAAGTCCACAGGTGATAAAAGGGCCACAATTGCTCACCCTTGCCCTAAGAAGAACCAGCTCCGCGTTAGGAAAAGAGGCTCCTTCTAGCCCCACTTCTTGACTTTCCCGGATGGATCCTGGGAGGACTCATCTACTGCGCATGCTCGCGGCGCAGTAGCGGCGGGGCAGGGAGGGAGGGAGGGAGGAGGAGAAAAAAAATGGCGGACGAGAAAGGAGGCGATGTGAAGCTGAAGCGGCCGCGGCTTGACGGAGGTAAACATACTGCGCTCCTATTCCTCTTCCGCAACCGTTTTTTTTTTCCTTTCACCCAGCCAAGGTTTTAATTTAAGACATGGAAATTCTCTTACGGCTGGAAGTCGAGGCATAGTTGTCTTCTTTTTCCCTTTCTCGAGAGTCCGTGCGAAGCCTGGCTCTCATAATGCCCGTTCCTCGGCTTCTAATTGAGCTCGTGTCCTAATCTCCGGGCGGTTTGTGTGGATCTAGTCCACGTCAGAGCCCCGCAGTGTTTTCTGTAGGTTCGCCCCAGCCAGACCCCTGTAGACAGGCTAGTTTGGCACCTTGGTAGACCAAGTAGCTCCGGCCGTCACTCTCGTACCAAGAGGGTTGCAGATGAAGCTTGGCGCGGGTAACGGCTCTTTTCAGCAACTTCAGAATGCAGTTGTTAGTGCAAGTTACTCGCTCTAGCAATAAACGCCAAGTCTGTGAATTGTGATCAGCATTTCTTTTATAATTATTATGAGATAAAAGGGTCTGTAAAATGGCCCCACGGGAATTCAGTGGATGCTTAGCTGGGCATTAGTCTCATAACATATATAAATACTAGACCATATATAAATCTGATGCATGATGCATAGGGATTTATTTCCTTTCAGGAACAACCTTTTTGAATTTAAGGATTCAAGATGTGTTGAACTACCACACCTATAAAACTATGCCTGATCTGTAAAGATAACATGTTTGCTGGTCTTATGTTATATGTAGATAACATATAAATGTTATCTACATATAGCATATAAATAAATAGATAGATACATCGATATAAATAACATGCTAGAGAAAGAATATACTGGAGCATATGATTATGTAGTGTTATAATGTTTCATTTTCACTGATCTATCTCAATCCTGTGATTCTGTAGTAGTACTAAGGGATGCAGAGATGAATCAATTAGATTCATGCTAATAACAGTAAGTGCAACTAGTTTGGTTTCTAGAGCAAGCTTCTATAACAATTTAGTACTGCTCAAAGTCAACTCCTCAAATGTTTATTCAAGTGGCACTGTTGCAGACTTTTGCATCAACTTGGAAATACCAGAATGATGGAACTGAAAAGATAATCTACATTTTCAAGAATAAAAGCAGAAGGTGGACTAGTCTTAGAGATTGGAAAAGCAGCACAGCAACACCCAATCTGTCCAATTTAAAATGAGGATTACTAGTTGGATCTCCCTCTACTCTGTTGACAAAATGATGCTGGGAAAACTAAAGGATACTGGGAGTGAGTATTGGTAGAGGAATAAGAGTTGTGAACTAGTTCCTCTACCAATACTCACCCCATTCCTCTATGTATTACAAAACCCAGTATCCTTTAGTTTAGGTCCTAGGATTTGACAATGTACAAATCCTCATTATGTCCTTTCTACTCACACAGAACATGGCATTCCCAGGCAGTCTACCTGGCCATTCAAAAGTGATAGTCAGCAAAGCTAGACAATCCTAAACCAGTAATGGAGAACAGAAGTTGCTCCAGGTCAGGTGATAAGAAAGGAGAGGCAGTTACTTTAATTCCAGAAGCCTATCAGATTAATGCTTCTCTTTGCACCCTCTGGAGACTTGTGAACCTCATATTTATGTGATAAATGAAGAATAAGATACCTAACAGATCTAAAAATAAGAGATATAGGAGAAAGATAGACAACAATCACAGTGACATCAAAAAGGACAAAGAGGCTGAAGGATCTATGTGAGGTACATAGCCTTATTCTTAGGAGCTTCAGCTATAGATCCTTAAGAGTCAGGAGGAATCCCTGATTTCTATGGAGGAATGGATCAAGATAGGTTGAAATATAGTCCTTATGAAATTTAGAAGAAAGTACATTTTCAGATCATAACTTCATTCAGTTTGTAGCTCTCCATCCAAGACTACTTAATGTTGACCTACTTATGATACTAAATACTCAGCAAAAATGCTTAATTGGAATTGGGGCCCAGCAGTTGTACACTCAGTATTCCTAAGAATTTGTGACCTTCTGCAGATCCAGCATAAATAGCAATGCTGTTTCGATTGGCCAGCAATGCATAGTATGATGAACTGATAGGCATAATTCCAAATTAGTAGTCCCAAGAGAACAGAGAGGTGTTCACAAACTCAGATGAATAAAGGATAAACAATGTATTGAAGTGAGCCTGCAGAATAGCAGCATTATGCTTTAGTCATATGGGCATATAATATCCTAGAAGTTTCAACAGAAGTCAAATCCCTAAGGGCAACAAATAAGCTACAGTGCATTCAGAAAGTATTCAGACTCCCTTAACTTTTGTCAATTTTGTTATGCTGCAGCCTAATTCTACAGTTGTTGAAATTTATTTTTTCTCATTAGTCTACACTCAGTACCCCATAACCACAAAGTGAAAACAGAATTTTAGAAATGTCTGTAAATTTAGTAAAAAAAAAATCACATTGGCATAAATATTCAAACCCTTTGCACTTGAAATTTAGCTCAGATCCTCCAGTTTCTTTTGATCATTGCTGACCTGTTGCTACAGCTTGATTGGAGTCAACCTAAATTAAATTGATTGGACATGATTTGGAAAGGCACATACCTCTCTGTAGAAGGCCTCACAACTGACAGTGCATACTGTAGGAGAGCAAAAGCAGAGATCAAAGGAACAGTCTGCAGAGCTCAGAGATGGGATTATTGCAAAGCACAGATCTGGGGAAGGCTACAGTGAAATTTCTGTTGTACTGAAGGTTCCTAAGAGCACGGTGGCCTCCATAATTCTCAACTGGAAGACATTTGGCACAACCAGGACTCTTCCAAGAGTTAGTTGCTTGGTCAGACTGAGCAATCAGGAGAAGGATTTTAGTAAGAGAGGTAACCAAAAACCTGATGGTCACTCTGACTGAGCTCCAGAGATCCTGTTTGGAAATGGGACATAGTTCCAGAATGACAACCATCACTGCAGCCTTCCACCAATCTGGGTTTTATGGCAGAGTGGCTAAATGGAAGCCTCTCCTCAGTGAAAAACATATGAAAACACATGAAAGTTTGGAGTTTGCAAAAAAGCACTTGAAGGACTTTCAGACTGTGAGAAACAAGATTCTCTGGTCTGATAAAACCAAAGTTTAACTGTTTTGCCTCTATTCTGAACGTTAGGTCTGGAGGAAACCAGGCACCGCTCATCACCTGCCTAATGCCATCCCAACAGTGAAGCAGGGTGGTATCAGAATCATGCTGTGGGAGTGTTTTCAGAAGCAGGGACTGGGAAACTGGTCAGGGTTGAAGGGAAAACTAAATGGAGCAAAGTACATGGATATCCTCAATGAATACCTATTCCACAGCACTCAGGACTCAGACTGGGCCAAAGGTTCACTTTCCAATATGACAATGATCCTAAGCACACAGCTAAGACAATACAGAAGTGACTTAGGGACAATTCTGTGAATGTCCTAGAGTGGCCCAGCCAGAACCCTATTTGAATCCTATTGAACATCTCTGGAGGAACCTGAAAATGGCTGTCCACCGATGATCGCTGTCCAACCTGACTGAGCTTGGGAGGATTTGCAAGGAATAATGACAGAAAATCCTCCAATCCAGGTTTGCAAAACTGTTTGTGTCACACCCAAAACTACTTGAGGCTAAAATTGCTGCCAAAGGTGCTTTAATAAAGTACTGAGTGAAGGGTCTGAATATTTATGCCAATGTGATATTTCAGTTTTTTCTTTTTAATAAATTTACACACATTTCTAAAATGCTGCTTTCACTTTGTCATTATGGGACACTGAGTATATATTAATGAGGAAAACAATGAATTTCAACAACTGTAGAATCCAGCTACAGCATAACAAAATTGACAAAAGGGAACAGGGTCTGAATACTTTCTGAATGCACTGTATATTTCAGGGAATATAAACAGAAAAAAAAAATCAAAACTTACCAGCAGCAGTTATCCAGATGAGCAAAATGATTAGTTTGTTTGGAGTGCATGCAAATCCTGGGCAAATTCTTGGTTGATAAAAAGGAAATGTATTATCATGTTGGACTTAATTCATCATGCCTTCAGAGATACATTCATATTGTTTTCTTGCCACCAGTATCAACATAATTTGTTACTTCTTTACTTCAGAATGTGATTTCAGCTTCATAGTGTAGTCTATAACTCTAGAATTTCCTTGTGCCCTTCCATGCCAATAGTATCCATTCCAGCTTTGCTTAGTTTTTGGGGAATCACCTAAACTCCAGTCAACAACAACTTCAGTGTTTAAAACCTACCTTAATAAAATCTCACATTACTAAATTTCACCTAGCCAACAGAAAACTTTGTTTTTTGCTGCAATAAGCCAACCATAAGCTTTGTGACAATTTCTAGTTCTAAGAATTATATTGTGGCATAAATATTTGTGGTTTAAATGTTAGAATTTTCAGTTTTATTATCTTTTTATCTTTCTGTAGTTCAAGACAGCATAAATTTATATTTTAAAAATAATATTTTTTAATTATTTCCATGGATTTATTCTGTCTTGATTTGAAATAACTCTCACAATTTTTGTAGGGATGTCATGCAGATACATGAATTTTAAAATATATTTACATATATAATTATTTTTATTCTGCATTAGCGAGTGATAGGAGCTCCCTTCACTATATGTCTATGTCCTTACAGTGTGCTCTGTATAAACAGTTGTGGAGGTGCTGACACTGTAAGTGCAAAAGTCGCCTCTGAATAACAGTGCTTTATGAGGTTGCTGCTCCCATCAGTCCACTCAGTAAAAATAGCTCATCTTGGTAAGTTGTTTCGACTTCACCAGGACCTGAAGAAGAGGCAGAAAAACCTGTGAAAACTAAGACTGTTTCTTCCAGTAATGGAGGGGAAAGCTCGAGTCGTAGTGTGGAAAAACGTGCAGCTGATGAAGATGCTGAAGACTTCTCAACAAAGCCTGCTCCTGCCAAAATGTCCAAGTTTGGGTTTGCCATTGGCTCTCAGCTTTCAAAGAAACCACCTGCAATATCCATCAAACTTGGAGCAAATGTAAGTGTTCTGAATTTGTAATGTTTAGTATTTGAATGGATAAATATTATTTTGTCATTAAAAATACTTTAAAATGTTGATTTCATCTTAATTGAGCTTTGTGCATTATAAATGATTTTTATTATCATGTTTTATGAACAATTATAAGATTTACGGAATATGCGATTTGCTGGGAATGTGAAGATATTGATAATTTCTATTCTAGTGTTTGCTGTAGTATGGTGGTGAGTGCATAACTTAGCAATATTATATACGGACAAAAACAAATACTAATTTTTAATCCTTTAGCATTAATTAAAGATATATGAATTCATTTATAAGAATATAATTAGTAGCGTAGAGAGCCAGTGTGGTATATTGGTTAAAGCACTAGGCTAGAAACCAGGAGGCCATGTCTTAAGCACGAAGTCAGCTAGATGACCTTTTGCGAGTCACACTCTCATAGCTGGACAAAGGCAATGGCAAAAAAAACATTGCCAAGAAAACTGCAATGAGTTGTCTAGTCATTCACCAGAAGTCAGTGCTGACTGGAAGAAAAAAAAAAGCAAATGAGTCTTACTCAAGAGGCTGTCCTATTATCTTTACTATTGTTTTTTATTATTACAAAAAACCTTGTAGAAATACTTTTCACTTTAGTGGCAGTCACCTTTTCTAGGAAAGCTTGCAAAAAGTAATTTGAGTTATTGTGTGGGTTAGAAGTATAATAAAGTATACATTTGCATACATACATTGTCAATAAAAATATTTACAGAAGTTCGAAACCATTTAAATTTAAAAAAAAAAAATTTTAAAGTGAAAATTGCAAATGTTACTTGGCCAAGTCACCAAATTAACAGTAAAGTAAGCACAGGGGAAATCTGTCTCAGGAAAGCATTTTACAATAAAGGTTCCATAGTCAAGCTCTCTTCGATAGGCACATTCTGGTGATGTATAGTCGGAGAAAAACATCATATATAGATCTTGATGCTGCAGCAAATCAACACAGGAAAAATAATTACAAATATATTTGTTTCATAAAGTATATAGAGTTTATTTGTTCTTTTTATTTTCTTCCTGAATTTAGCGCAGTGGAGACAATTCGTGGCCCATTGAATCATCTTTTGAGAGATATTTTCTTACCAGATTCCTCAATCCCTTCAACAGTGACAGAACTTATAATGTACTGCCTTTACTGGAAAAGTTGGGATACATTTAGATATATATCTGTCTTTGAAAATAGTCCAAGTTAAACTGCATAGCACATTCAAATTTCAGCACAGGAAATGTTTTATGACATTTTGCATTATGTCACAAAACTCTTTTATAATATATCATAAAATGTTTCATTTAAATTCTGTGAGAGACATGGGTCCTGGATGTTGGATACATTTTGTAAGTTAGTCCATTTGAGGTAAATCTTGGTTCAAAAATTGTTGCCTATGATGCAACAACTTTCACCCTGTTAAAAGTTACAGGAATAAGAGTTTTAGTTGTATATAAATTGAAGTGTCTTGTTTCAGAAACAATTTCCCATGTAATATGGGATAGGGAAAATTATAGAGTTCTAGTAAAATGTCAGTTTGTGTTTAGTAATTTAGTTTACTTAAGATTTATAGCATGCTTTTAATTACTAATTTCTATTGCATTGATTTCTTGCATCAATAAATATTTTCCTTTGCTCTCTTTCAGAAACCTAAGGAACCTACTCCAACTTTAGCTCCAAAAACACTCTCTGTAGCAGCAGTATTCAATGAAGATGAAGATGTAAGTAACTGAGAAATGTACAGGAATGTGAATGTAGTACAGATCTATAGCCTTAAATACCTGCTCTACTGGTTGTTTTGAAGACCTTGAAGACCTAGGCTTTGGAGAGGGTAATTGAAGAGCCCTCCTGGGTAGTGTGGGTCTGCTTTTTGTTCTTGCCCATGTTTTGCCCCCTTATGTTCCTTGTTTTTACTATTGTATTATGTTTTTCTGAGTTTTTTTAAAATTTGGGAACTGCTCAGAGTAGTTAATAGTTGAATCACGTACACATTTAATTATAAGAATAGAGCAGGGGTGAAATGCTCCCGGTTCGGTCCGGATCGCCCTATCCGGCGATGGCAGCGGGTGGTTCAGAGAATCGGTAGCAAAAATCCCTGCCCCCCCCCATGCCCAGCTGAGCTGCGCAATCATCAGAGGCTTTTTTTAAAAAAAATTAAAAGCATTTTTTCTACAACCTCTTAGGCTGAAAAAAATGCTTTTAAAAGTAAAAAAAAAAAGCCTCTGATGATCGCACAGCTCAATTGGGATCGTCAGAGGCTTTTAAAAGCATTTTTTCAGCTGAAGAGGTTGTAGAAAAAATGCTTTTAAAAGTAAAAAAAAAAAAAAGTTGGCCATGCCCAACCCAGTCACATTACCCCCACCAAGCCACGTTCACAGAACCGGTAGTAACAAATTTTACATTTCACCACTGGAATATAGTAAATAAACACAATCACACAGTTGCTAATCCTGAGGAAAATATATTTAGTTTAAAGGCTTTTAGAGAAGTGCAGCTTTAGCAGTGCAAAGTATCTTTTTGTCTTTGAATCTGAATTGCCACATAGCTCTAAATGTTGTGTAGACTAGGGGCAATATGCTGCTTTAGCTGCAAGAGTTGTATTGTGTCTTTCTAATGTTAATAAAAGATTTTAAGCAAACTTTTTTTTAACAATAAATTATTAAGTTTGAATGTAACAAAATGTATGATTGATTTATATGCTGGGGGCTGACATTCAAGATCAGCACAAAATAACAAATAGGCCCTTCAAAAAAACAATCTCATCTATATTATAAACAAAATAATTGTGTTCATGTTGTCTTTTTACTTAGAGTGAACCTGAAGAGATGCCTCCAGAAGCTAAAATGCGTATGAAGAACATTGGAAGGTAACATGTCTTTCATAGTAACATTGTTGGAAAATGATAGAACAATATTCATTATATTAGTATATTGGCTATGTGTTGAAGCTAAACCTTAAGTAGCTCTTCTAGAGTTATCTCCAAATAAGTCAGGGACTATAATTTGGAATTTATACATACCATGTTTGTGATTTATCCTTTCTAGCTTTCAGCAGTTGAAAATATTTTTATTGTGTTTATCTTCTGACATAAGAAAGTGTGTCCAAATACAATAGTTTTGGATTTCAGAATTATAAATATACTGTTGCCAGCTGCATATAGATAAGGTGTTCTCACTTTCTAATAGAAGCCTCTTTAAATATTTTTAACTAAAGTACTGAATTAGTAAAGGTGAACCAATTGCTTTTGTTTGTTTACAGGGATACTCCAACTTCAGCAGGACCAAATTCTTTCAACAAAGGAAAGCACGGGTTTTCTGACAACCAGAAGTTATGGGAGCGTAATATGAAATCTCATCTTGGAAATGTTCGTGAACAGGATGACTAGTTGTCTATTTTGATCTGGGTGTTGGGAAATGGGAGAGTACAATATTAAAGGAATAGTGCCCTTTTTTAGAATGGTATACAGCTATTTTGGTGCCACTTTTAAAAGTTTGTAGTGGTACAACAACAAAAAATGAGTTTAAAAGTAGAGGTAACTTATGTTTTGTATAAAAATTTCAAAGCAATTGCTAATTTTGTAGCTTCATGCATTTAATTTCACAAGGTAATGGAAAATAAAGGCATTGGAAGTGGTACATTTTAAAGGAATTTTCTTTTTATAATTATTCTTATATGAAGATAGAAAAATCACTCTGTCTTTAATCAGTTTTAAGTTAAATGCTGCTGTATTAAAAAATCCAGATCCTGTTCTGTGATAGGTTTTTGTTGTTTATTCCTTTAGGCTACTTTTATAGAGGTTCAGTACATCAAGTCTTGCTAGACTGTTTTAATCCACATAATTCTGTAAAATAAACTATTGCAAAATAATTTTACTACATTTCAATCTTAAGATTTTTGACTGTGGTAGACTAGTAGTATAATCCTGTTCTCGAACATTGTGTAATCCCTCTGTAGCCTCTTTCCCTCTTAAGAAATGGGTTTTGCATGTATATACATATTAGGAAAGTATAACAAACATTCATAACAAAGGTAAATCAGTATTTTTTAACATTTCAACTCTTGAGCCTTGACCAATGCTTGTCAATGTTTGTCAGTTTGAAGTAGTTTAATTAATAGGCTATCAAAGAAAAAGGAATTTTCAAAAGGAGACTATGCTTTATCATGTTTTAAACGCCAGGGTCTTTTTTTAAATAATCCTACAGGAATAGAAATTACACATATTTAAATTAGCAATTGTTTACTAACATCCAGAAATTTGCAATTTGTTTACATATTTTGATCGTATAGTGTGCTAGAACTTTGGTACCAAAAGTGAACTCCTTTACTCTGAAGACAGGGAATCAGGTTTGGGCTTCTTTGTTTTTGTTGTTCGTTTTTGAGGTTTATTTTGCATTCATATTTAAGCAGATGCAACCCCACGCCCCTTTTTAGCTTTTCTTGTTTAGACTTCATTTCTTCAAGAAAATATCCTTTCCTTCATTTTTTTTAGAACTTTCTAATTTCTTAAATAAAAAAGAGAACATTTCTGGTTGGCATAGCTTTCGAGATTTGCGTAGCATAGCTTGACCCAAGGCTCGTCTGCTATGTCCCTTTGCAGAATATGTACTGTATGTAGTATCTGGAGCCAGAAGCTCCATTTGGATTGGAGGTCTTCGCTCATTACAAAGCTTCAATAGGGTCACTGTTTCATTAAAACCATGGTCCAGGAAAATGACACCATGTGTGCTTGAATATATCCAACTTCCTGTTTGTTGGTATCTTTGTTTAGTCTTAGGAAATTAAAAACATCCTTCTAAGATGTCACCAGCTGACTGCAAAGATGTAGCTATTATATAGACATAGAAAATTAGAAGCATTGTTCTGGAAAACCACCAGTAATGGCAAAATATAATGGATGCAGCTTTCAAAATGACAGAAAGAACTATGAATAAAGGAAGTTTCTTTCTATAAAAAAGTCTTTTCCACATTCTTTGATTAGGAAAGACATCCCTGGACTGTGGTCTTCAATTTTGTTGCATTTCTTTTATCCTTCTTTATTTTTTAAAGTAGCTAATTACCAATATTGTTAACCAGCTAGGGAGCGAATCCAAAAACTGGGCAAACATTTTCTCCATTCATCTATTTTCTAACGTATTTAAAGACAACATCAGCAAGAAAATGGAAATGATTGAATAGGTGTACTTATGTCAGCTTTCTGGGGCAAACCAGGCAGGAAGTATAGCCAGATGATCTAATTCTACTTTATTGTAAGATAGTATAAACAGAATCGTGCAAGTTTGAAAGTATATTTCTCCCTCCCCTGTCCCACTTACAGCCCAAGACACCAGGGACGTTCCCTCCTGAGTCACTTGCCCAGCCCACATTCCTGCTAACATTGAGCTGTCTTCCCTCACCCCCAAGGTTTTACATTTATTGATGTATGGAAGAGGTAATGTAAATTTTAAAATGTTACACAAACAGAAAAACAGATCAGTTTATACATCCAATTAACCCTAAAGGTAAATTGGTCTGACAGCATTCTGATACAGGTACTCCTGTATCAGGTACTCAACTTACAAAAGTTCATTTAGTGACCGTTCAAAGTTACAGCAGTGCTGAAAAAAGGGATTTATGACCATTTTTCACACAACATTGCAGTATCCCTGTAGTCACATGATCAAAATTCAGATGCTCGGCAACTGGTTCATATTTATGACTGTTGCTGTGTCCCAAAGTCATGTGATCCCCTTTTGGAACCTGACGAGCAAAGTCAATGGGAAAATGAGACTCACTTAACAACCATGTTACTAAATTAACAACTGCAAAGGTTCACTTAACAGTTGTGGCAAGAAAGGTCATAAAATGAGGTAAAACTCATTTAACAAATGTTTCAGTTAGCAACATAAATTTTGGACTCAATTGTGGTCGTAATTTGAGGACTACGTGTACCCCATTTGTAGTTGTAGATTGTAGTTAAGCAACCTGCCACATTTTCATTTGGTCATATGAAGGGTTGCCTGGAAGGTTAACCGATGCTTTTCTCAATCAAGATGGTTCTAGAGAGGAGTCTCAAAATAGGGTCTTTCTGGGTCCTTCTTTTCTGTAGTAATATAGTGCCTGATCACAATAGCATGGCTCTTTTCATTTTATTTTTGCTCCAGTGGAAAAAGAATAAAGTTTCCTTTATGGAAACTGGGAGGAATAATAACATGACTGATAAATGATTGAATGAGACATCCCCCATTGTGTGTTGTTGGTGCACGGAACAATGAATGAACATATGGTCAAATGGATTTTCCTGGATCAACAAAGTTTTCTTGTATTTCTGGATGTGCTTATTCTGTATTCTATAGCTCCCATTTAAAATGTAATTGAGAGACTAGGACATGGTTTGTTTTAGTTCCCGTTAGGTCTCTGTTCCCATGAAAATATTGTCACATGGAGATCATGTTTTTCAGGATATGCTGATTGAACCTGGAGCTAAATTTAGAGAGAACTCAGTAGTGGTGACCATATCAGCAGTCATTTCTTTCATTTGACTGTTATGGATATGGTGCAGCTCTAAATTAGGCAACTGGTTTCCCCCTTTTGGTACCAAAAATGCCCTTTGCTAACCTTATGCCATAGACTTCCTAATGGGAGTAAAGCTTCAACACTTCTCCTTTGCAGCTGATCACTGATAATTAAGAAAGCTACAGTGTTGAGCTTATGAGATTCCTTTGTACTACTACTATTATGTAGAAAACCATCTTCCCTTTTGTCCTCACTAATAAAATTCTTGCTCCATTAGGATCCTGTACTTACATTTAATTATAAATCTCTTCATTTGAAGCTCAGTTCATCCTCAAAAAATTAGCTCTAGACTTACAGTGTTACATTCAAAGAGCCCAGAAAACTGTCCATGTGGTTGTCTTTCAAATCCATCTAATCAATTCCTCTGCAAAAAAATCCAACATAACATACTTTACAAGTTTATAGAGGATAGTCTCCTGTGAACCTTTATCAATCAGCTTTCAATTATTCAATATGTAGAGGTCCTTATAGTAACATTTTAGAGTTTATATTTTGAAAAAATACGTGTTAAGAGTATTTTCTAATACGTCAAACCACAAAGACAGCAGCTACGATAACACTACTATGTGCTGTTATCCTAAATCTGAGGATTTCACATTTTGATATTTAATCCTAATCATTACTTTTAATCATCAATCACCTAGCCTCTTTAGTGGTTTCCACTGCTGTCTAACATGTCATATCAGTAACAGAGTTAAGTCAGATTCACCCAAATCTGAATCAGTTATTGCCTTGAAAGATTCCGTCATACTGAGGGCTGCCACCAGCTGATCTTAGAAATCACACTATCAAGACTAAGTAGACACCCAATATTTATGCACAACTTTATTGTAACTTTCTTTTCTATCCAGAAATCTTCAGTAGTATTGAACCTTAGAACTGGCAATCCCATAATCATGACTTGCATAAACAGTGAAGAGAATATAACCCTGCCTTTTTTCCTGAAATGGAGTCTTGACATGTGCAGTAATGTTATTACAGCATCAGTACAAATATTTAAATTGCAGACTCCTCAGTTGTTGGAGATGGTTTCCCTACAATACATTTCTTGTATAAATAAAAGATTAAGATTCTGTTACAAGTTCCAGCTAAAGTAGCATGTCTAATCCAGTGTAGTTCAATATAGATCTGTTAACCCATGTTGATAAGTATGAAGTCTTACACCTGATTCACCATACATGGTGAATTGGGAATAAAGTACATTTGCTTCTTGAAGCTATAGGCTCCTTTGTTCAAGGCTTCTATTGCCATATATGTCAATTTTAACTGAAAACTATGGTTTTTGTAAGCCTCAATCATTTGATCTTTTCCACAATATTCCAAAAATAAAGTGGCTTCTTCTTTCATATCATATAGACGGTCTAAGCATATTTCTCTTTAATAACAAACCTCAGTGCGGAACAACAGGAGCTGTGAGCAGCTCTTAAATTTTCATAAAGGAAATAAATTAAAGCAAGATTCTGATAAAGGAGACTAGCATTGATGATGCTATCTAGTTTGGCCCAACGATGCTTTTTCAAAAGGCAGCTGGACTTCGTTTCTTCTTCTGTTTCTCTTTTCATCAGAAGAAGCTTGGATGAGAAGTGAAACAGCTTCAAGGAAAAACAAAGTTCAGCTGCCTTTTGAAAAAGCACCTTTGGGACAATCATGACCTGGATGTCTGAGAATCTCCATAGACAATTACCTAGTCTGGGTAATGAAATGCTTGCAAGAAAACAATCAAGTTCAGAAAGCACCAAGGACTCCTTAGACAAGATTCCTTTTTTATACTCCTGAAGGGCAGAATTTAGAAGCCACTATTTGGTGCTGAAGGAGCCATGTGCTTTTATTTTGGAAATATTTTCTTTTTTTGTCATTTGTTGTGATCCTCAGCATTATGGTGTACTGTCAGTACAAAGTTTCCAGTCCAGTTTCTTCATACTTTGGTTATTTTCTTTGAAGAATTTTGATACAATTTAAAATTGTATCTTTTGCAAGCTATAGCAATGTCTTCAAGATTTGTGGAAAAAAAACATTTTATTTTCATGTTCCCTTTAGATACTTAATATGCCTAGATAAGGAGTTGAAGACAGTTTCCTTTATGTCTCATAATTATCACAGCTAAGAATAAGATGATATTTTCCTTAAAGTAGAGTTTGATATGTTCAGCTAAATTATCAATATGGTGCTTGACTGTAGAATTAGAAGTTTTTTTTTATTTCTTTATTTTCTCCTCAATTGGCAACCACAATAATGCAAGACTTCACAATTTTTTCCAATAACAAGATTTTCTTCTGTAAAAGTCATTGCAAAAAGGTTTCATAATTTTGCAGATGCTAGAAATAA